TCCTTGGACGTGCAGATGTTCTGGGGCTCTCTGCTATGCTAATACTGCATGAAAGCAGCTTATTAACATGCAGCGGGTAACTGCAAATCTGGGATTTGTTCACTTAGCTGCCTCTTAATACATGGATATCTGGTTTGCAAGTTTGCATAAGGCACCCTTTGCCTGCGCCTTGAATGTGTGCAGAAATGTGCTCATGCAGGCTTTGATGTCTGCAATATTTAACATCATCTGTTTTCCAATCAACTTGTCTTCTAAGCTCAGGGTTTCATTCAGGGATGCTTCTGCCTGATGCCTACGTTTCTTCTTCTGACTTTGTGCAACATCTGGGGTGTTTAACACGTGCTCGGAAGGGCGCACGCTATTAATTGGACATTAAGTGGTGGGCCATGTCTGAGGCCATTGCACATTGTATTAATTACTGAGTGGCTAATAACAACCTTCTGCCCCTGGTATTTATAGAATAATAAAATCTGTCCATGACACTGGCCTCACATCTGGTGAAACTGGCAAACACATTTTCATTTACCTCCCTTTCTCAAGCGTGCTAATAGCTTTCAGATTTCCAGGGGGGCAACTGGAGACCTTAGAGTCTTATGAACACATTGGTAATGGCTCCAGAGTGAAGCGTGAGCTGAGATTTACACTTCAAACACGACTGAGCCCCGCTATTCCTCCCTTTGCCCACTGTGGCATCATGGCTTTAGGATAAAAAGGGACTCTGCTTTAAACCATAAAGGCTGATAAGCAGAATTAGGGGCGGCTGCACATAACTGTAAGGCTGATGTTGCTCTATGATCTCTAAGGTAGGCTCTCAGGCAGGGGCTTAAGGATGCTGCCCTGAAAGAGGAAGGGAGCAAGGCCAGGGCATCTTGTCTGCTCCAAAGAACAGACTGGAGAAGGACCTGTAAAGAAGAAACTCAATCTACCCCCTCCTGTCCTTGAAATTAGTTGTTGCAGATGAGGGCAATGTCCTTGAGTGTATTCATGGTTTGAGCCACTTTGAGACCTTACCTTAAAGCAACTGCTGAGGTGCTTCACCCATGCCCAGCATTCTGCTTTCCTCGTGTCTTGGCTTCTAAAGGCTCTTAGCATACCCCAAAGAAGCGAGCATTTCTGTGCTAGTGGCAGACTAAGGAGAATTGCTCCAAGGTGGTGTCTTTAACCTAAATGTGTAGGGACCACTTACAGGAAGATAGGCACAATGTTATCAGGTCAAATACTACAAACTGTTTGGACCAGTTTTGTCCTGAGGTTGATGCTATCATGCAGAAACCCCAAGGAATATGCAGTCTCAGGACACTGCATCTCTTGCTGCAGTTTTCTGTTATAGTTGCATTCCTCCAGCGCAGTCTGAACTGCTGTTCTCCAGGTCCAGGCTCCTAAATATGCTGAAAGCAACGGCATTGAGGACAATAAGGCAATTATAGGATATTTGCTTATACCTCTGATTTAGTTGGCCAAAGAGGTGCTCTTCTCTAAAGCTTTTGGGGCAAACCTGCTGTAGGATTTCGGTTTGTATTTGTCGGGGCACTGAGGAATAGGTTAAGGATGGGGAGTTCATAAACAAGCAGTAAAACTCCTCATTACCCAGGAGATTGCTAATAATGTCTGATCTGTCCAAGCTGCTCCTTGCACATCCCTGGGAGGATGCATCCTGCCGTCTTCCCCCCTCTCCTCCCTCAAACAACTGCTGTTCTCTGAGATAGAGCCCCAGTTTGTCTCCATTACAGCCCCGCACGAGCTCACTCGCCCGGAGGAAGTTATATCACCCTCCAGGAATGGCTTGGCAAATCGCTGAAGGTATGTGCTGCTTGTAATCGTCTTTGGCCATGGGCCAGAGTCCCCCGCTCTGCACTATCAAAGGCTCTCTGTCTCCCTGCCAGTCGGGAGGGCATGATGTCATGCAGGCACCAAAGCAGGAGCATTTCTATAATCCCCTCGTCTCCCAGTCAAAATCTGTCTGTTCCTAATGAAAGGCTTCCCATGGCCATTCATAGGGTCTTATTATTGGAGAAGTGGCCAGAAATAGCCTCCATGTTGTTGCTTGTGAGCATGAAAGTCACTGAGATGGGGTAAGCCCCTACACTAAGCAAGAGAAATGGGTCCCAGTGAGAGCCTGGAGCCCCTAGTTCTCTCTGGGATGGCATGTGTTTGTGTTTTGCTTGAAGGCTTGAGTGATCACCTGGGTGAAGTGGTGAAAAGCCGTACACTGCAAAGGATAGTGTCCACATGAAGTTAAAAAGCCTTCTGAAAATGTAGTGCAGTCCATCCAATGGTGCCAGAAGGCTGCGTGATGACTTTTCTCCCTTGTGCCTCATGAGAACTTTGTTTCAGCTTGCCAGAAGCTTGAGTTTTAAGCCCTCTGAGGAAGACCATGGTATAATGTACAAGGTGGCCAGCTTCTTCTTAGCCACTGGAATGATGGTTTTGGTGGATAGTGAAACATCTTCTGGTTATCTCCAAGCATCCCTCACGTTTATGCCTGGTGAGTAGCGAGACGAGGTTCCCACAGGGCATCAGGGAACACTTTACACCAACGTTGGTCCTTTGAGGCTTCTTGTCTAAAATCCCCTTTCATTTCGTCCTGTCCCCAGTGCTCTCCCCCCTCAACTTGTCACCACTTCTTCTAGCTCTGGAGACATCTGCTTTGCCCATGTCCTGTAGAAACGCCGAGGGGAGGGTGAGCTCGGTGAGAGAAAAGTCATAGTTCTCACTGCTTTTAAACAGCAACTTCTGAAAACATCTGAAACAGACATAATTCTCCTTTTCAAGAGCCCTATCTGAGGCTCCCCAAATGCTTGGCTCTGGCTTCAAAGATGGTGTTTAGCTATAAATAAATAGCATTTCATTAAAAGGAAAAAAAAAGAGAGAAATTAGACAAAAAAATTCTACAAGCAGAAGCTTAACCAATGCCAGATAATGGGGCAATATGGGGTTTTATTTTTATCCACATGGGTCCATGTGCTCTTTATCTCCCACTGTAATTTATCCTTATAAATTAGGTTCATGATATTAAAAGAACATTATAGCCTTTACCTACCACAGAGAAAGGCGGTGGAGTTTCATCAAGTGCTTTGAGATCCTTAGATGAAAGGGACGACGACCTTGACCAAAGAGCCTATTGTTAATAGTTGAATGCATGCAAGGCGTTTGCTGAGTAGGGAGAATACATTTAAAGATGAATCTTAATTGGTGCTTAATTGGCAGATTTGTAGCCATTAGGCTGATGCTGGGTAAGGAGAGTCTATAGTTACTTCCAAAGTCTATCATGAAGCTGAGTGTTAGCATCCCCTCCAGGATAACTTAGCATCTGATGGCGTGATCTCCTTCTCCCTGTGCCTTACAAGCATGGTACCTTTGCCCAGTGATGAGCTTGGAAGCTTATTCCTACCCCAAAGGCTCACCTCTTCTCTTGTCTTGTTTAAATGATGGCCACCCAAGATCTTAACTCCATCCCTAAATGGAAACTACAAATGACCACCAAACCTGACTCTGTCACTTGAACTTCCCTTCTGGGAGTCTGGGGCTGCATTTCCTTCCTGTTCAAGGGGTTTCTTCACTCACTATCTGCTTTTGTGGATGTGGCACCAGCAGCATTTGGTCCAAGATGCACCTCTGACTCTTTAACTTTACCCATTAACACTGAGAATTCAGACTCAAATACAAAATGGATATTTCATGGATGGATTTATACTGCTTGATCCTATCCTGATGCTTAACCCTATTGATTTCAACAGTAGAGCTGCACACCTTTTGCTAGGATTACACACACCTTTTCCATGACACTGTACAAGCCAAGGAGGCAGGAGACCCCACGCTTTATCCTTTCCATCTGGAGATAGCTAGCTTATTACTGCATGGTGCCCTGTGAACCTCCTGTTTCCAGCTCAGCCTCTGATCTCTTCCAAACCTAGGGAAGCTCTGGGGATTTTAACCCTGTCCAGATGCCCATGTGAAACACATCCACCACTTTCTCCCGTGTTGGCTCCTGAGGAAAGACTTAAGTAGTTCTTAACTGCAAACACAGCTTGGGCTATTAATATCCGAACCAGAGATGTGAGTGATGTTCTGTAGAAGACAGGCTCTTTGCAAACCTGCCCATCAGCAGCACATGCACTTGCTGCCTAAAATAGGTGCCCTCTTTACCTTTCTGACTCTTATTGCTCAAACTTTAGCTCACTGTGGCACTGGAAAGACTAAGTATGGACTCTGCTGTGTGGCACTCAAAGTAGCATCAGATGCTGCTTGAAAAGAGCCCCAGAGGAAGAGCATCGCTAGACAGTGGGGATTTCCAGTGACTCATATCTGGTAGCAGAAATGCTTTAAGATGTTGAGGAAAAGGGAGCTGAAGTTTTTACCTTCAGCCACCTGCTTATCAGATGTGCCTTGCAGGATAGGGTTTTTTGGGTTTTCTCTGAATAGAAGTGCTTTTTCTTCAAGTACACCGCAGACGTGGCTGTGAAACCCCCGGGAGCTGGTAATATGCCTGGCCAAAAGTGACTCCTGATGTCAAAAAAGCTAAGAGCTTTCCCCTTCCATAACCCTTTGCCTCCTGCAGTACCCCAAAGGAGAAACAATGGGCACAGAAATGTGTTCCCTCCTCTGCACAGCATGCATTTTTCACCTTCTCTTAACCCCCTGAGTCTTCTGTTCAGCGAAGTAACCATGTTTTCTTTACCAGAAAAATACAGTTCTCTCCATTTAATTTAATTAGAGCTGCCTTTGACCATGGCCTTCAGACCTGGAAGATGAGTGCCACATGCTGTGTGTTGCTCCTAACCCCAGCAGCTCCTCTGTCTCCTCGGGGATTCTGTGCAGGACAGACACCAGATTAGTGCCTGAGAATGTTTCATCCAGCCTGAGCGCACGGAGATAAGAGATAAAATACGTCTGCCTTGGGTATGTGCCTGCTTTCCCTCGCTGCCGGAGCTGATAGCTGGGGATTGCTGCGCAGCAGTCTGCCAGCGCCACCTCATGGTCCATGGTCCGCTGGCCATGCGCATCGCATCACCGCAGGCATCTCCATCCTGCCACCATGGGTATCCCAATCCTGCCACCATGGGCATCCCAGTCCCACTGCCACAGGCATTTGTATCCCACCATCATGAGCATCCTCCTACAGCACCGATGCTTCCCACCTCCCTCCTCACTGTGGTTTCCCTGGAGGGTTCAGGCTCAGGGTATGATAATATACCTGAGGTCTGCAAAGCATTAAAGCATATTGTCAGATATATGAGCTCATGGGGGAAGCAGGCCAGACACATTTGTTACTGGGAGAGAAACTGCTTCTTGCCCTGACCCACGTCTAACTTTCTTTGTCTTTATTGTTATCTATCAACACCTTCCTTACTCATTTTGAATAGTTACTTAGTTCCTGTCCTTGATCACCTTCTCCCCAGTATCCTCAGCAGCTGCTTGTAGGACCTGGCATATCAGGGAGAAAGGGAAATCTTTCTCAAAAGAATCTGTTCTCTCTCTTTATTCCACATTAAGAACTAACAGCTATTTCCAGGTAAATCAGTTCACCTTGTCATCAGTGGAGATTTTGGCAAAAACTGAAGATCTCTCTGGTTTTAATTGTTTCTTTGAAGGAAATCACCTTATGAAAATTGAGGCCAGGCTTCTGTAGGAAACTAGAAGGGGCTCAGTGCAGTGAGGTTCTGCCTGGTTTTGTTGAAATAGGGGCAGAGCTATTTTTCTGCACAGTTGCTGTGGTTCAGAGACCTCAAAAGACATCCAAGTTTGGTCTCTTGCTGGCATCTAATCCATGAGTTGGTGAAGCTTTTCCTCCCCACTGGGGTGATGTTCCCATCAGATTCTCTGTTGAGTTCCCATAGACAAAATGTTGGATCGCTCAAAATACTTGAAAAGTAAAGGAGATGCTCGCACCTCTGGGACTGCAGCAATGGCCAGATATGGAGAAGGATGCAAACCTCTTTGAGTGAGAGTTTCATGACTGTGAAGCTATGGAGAAAAACAGCAAGAAAGCAAAAAAACCCAACCCCTACCGTTTTCCTCCATGAAATGAAGGAAATGCAGTCAGACAACAACAGACATCAGCTCAGGGGTATAAAGTTATCACAAAGATAGCTGTGGGAATTGATTAATTGCTCAGATTTAAGTCACTCCTGTCCTTTTGGAGATGTCATGTCTTCTTTACTCTTTTCCCTTCCCTCATTCCTGCCTGCTGCATTTCTCTTTCCTAATTTTAAGGGGGATTGAGCACAGCAAAGGGAGGAAAGGGGCAAAGGCAGAAAGCTATTGGGGGTGCAAAGGTTAATCTTCTAATGAAGTTGGCTAATGGGAAAGACACATTGGAGAAGATCGCTCGATGGCAATTTAAAGGCAATTTCAAAAGCCAATTAAAGCTTTTTCCAACTCTTTCACCCGTGACTCTTTTAAATGCTTTTCCGAACTTTGCTTGCTTGAATTTGGCTTTCATGGCAGGAAAACAGACTAAAACCAGAGAGACTGTCCAGAAAATGAGGCTGTGCTCACCAATGCAATGTGTGTTTTGACACTGGCTCTTGCAGTAACTCATCCTCCACCTGGGGCCTTGACAAGATAACCCAATAGATAAAGTCTTCAGAAAATAACAATAAAGACCAAGGAAGAGGAGCCTTCCTGCTTCATAGCCATCTCTTCCCTTCCTTGTTGGGACCCAAAGGATGGGATTATCTCAGCATGTCCTGAAGGATGCACAAGAAGTCAGCTACCTCATGGCTCTTCAAGCTGTCTAAGCTGCCGCTGAAGTAACTTTCAACCAGACCTGGGGACCTGACAGAACACATGGAGAATGTGGTAAGGAAGCTTTGCCTGTGTGCATTCGGGACTAGCAGCTGAGTCTTTTCTGGCTTTGCCTCCATAGGGCAGGGTGTGACTCTACCAGCTTGTGCAAAGCTTCAGCCAATCCGTGTCCTGGTTATAGAAGCTACAAAACTCTCAGAAATTGTTCAAATTCCCCAAATACCTGTGGAGTTGGGGTTTTGAGGGCTGATGCTTTAGTCTTTGGGCTAGGAGGGCTGGGGAATTAGCCATAAAACACACCCACATGTGTGCACACCATGAATTCATTAAGTGAGATATATATATCTCACATCTGTGTGTGTAATGCCTGGTTCCTGTGGTTGCAACTGCCCCTGAAGGGAGATGCTACTTACCACCAGCCTCAAAAATAGACCACCTCTTTGCGCACTTGAGAAGATGCAGGAACCATCTGCCTGCATCCTGGGATGGTGCAGCAGTGAAGTTAGGGTAGATCCAAACAAAAGCGAAGCCCAAAGATGCTGAATGGGTTCACTGGTGCCAAAAATCCACCTGTGCAGGCAAATTCCTTCTTTGTTCCCCTGAGCAGCTTCCCACAGCACCCAGAGAGTCACTGCGGGCTATGCTATCTCCCTGCCTCTGTGCTCTCCAAGTGGCTTCTTGATTTCAAAGGAAGGTTATGGCTTTACATGACCATTTAGTTTCATACACGTCTGACCTCAGGATAGGAATCAGCATAGTCTGCAATGAAAAGAATTACAGCTTCCCAGGGATTTCAACTCTTCTTTAAAGAGATAATGCTTGCCAAAATGATCCTCTTGCAGATAGCGAAGTCCTGTGCAAAGCACGCGTTTGGTGCTGAAGTGTTTTTGGTAAACCAGGGATTTGAAAGCCTGTGCACTCTTTCATTCTTTCTTCTTGGAAAGAGGAACAGGTCCAAACATGAGCAATGGAGCAGCTGCCTTTAATAGTTATGACAGTCAATGTGGTTTTGACAGTGCAAAGCCATCTGGGTTAAAGAATACTGAGAACCTGCAGACAGAAATGAAGGCAAAAGAGTTCACAGTAGAGACCCAGGCTTGCATAAAGCAATACCTGAGGTCAGTGGTGAGATCCTGCAGGGCTGAAATGCTCTGACTTAGCTCCCAGGAGATGCTAACATTAAACATGAAAATAGAAGACGATCAACAAGGTGCAGAAGCCTGGGAATGGAGGGAGCATCTCACAAGGTTAAACAGAGGTTAAAAGCAAAGAGCGAGGGTTCATTTCAGGATGTTCCTTAGCAGTACATTGCATTTTGCTTTTCCAAACCTGCAGGATTTTGGAAGCAAGGACCTGGGACCATCATGCTTTTGGATGATCTTGTATTTTTTTCTGGAGCTCTAGGCCCTGAAGCTGTCTCTGAATGGCAGCTCATGGTTTGCTGAACTGAGATATGGGGGGCTCTGCTTTCTCATGATCTCAGCTGCTTAGCTCATAACTGGGAGAATCTTCTTGAATACAGACTAGCAAAAAACTGTTGGAAACCAGCTGGAGACACAGTCCCTTGTGTTACAAAATCAGCATCTCCCAAACCTCTACTTCAGGCTATTTTTAACGTGCAATGGCACATATCGTTGCCTTTATTTTCTCCCAGTCCCAAAGACAATGTGTATGGAGGGGGTCAGGTTCAGAAAGTGAAAGAAATTGTGAAAGGAAAAGAAAACCGAAGAAGAGAGGAGGACCTCAGCACTGACCTGAAGCACGTAGCTAACCCTTTCTTTGCTTAAATTAGCTCAAGTGTAGGTGTATTCCAGGGAGATATTCAGATCCTTAATTAAGAGTAGTGATGCAAAAGGAAGTGCAGGCATAGTGAAAATGGATCAGAAAAGCATTAATTGAGTAATATGGGTGTTTACAGCACAGACTTTAAGCTATTTCTGTTCTTCCTCAGGTTGGAGTGAAGCCAGAGCAACTCAACAGGCCATGCATGGGGAAGGGAGCAAATAGCCTTGTTGCGTCCAGTACCCCCAGTACTGAAGTCACTGGACTGGTCTCATTCCCAGGTCATTTTTCCATGTGGATTCAGTTCAGCCTCTAGTTTTCAGACCCTCCAGCTAGCGCTGGAAGGACAAAAAGTTAACTTCCCATAGAAAACCATGACTCTGTCCTCAGAAAGGCTGGAGAGCCCAAGCCTGGGACAATTCAGCAGCCACAGGTTGAGGTACCTCAGCGAGGGACCCACACAGGAATAAATACTGGAGAATCACTGCTCCTAAAACGATCCTTTATTTGTTGGCTGCTGGTCACAACCACTGACCTCAGAGCACTAATAATCCTGAAGGGCTCTAGAGGCTTTTTAGCATGTGCATTTTAATGTAATAAGCTTTGGCATCTGAAATGTTTTTTCCCTTCTTGGCTTCTCCTTTGGGCTTGGAAACAACAGGGTCAGCTCAGTCTTTGAGCAAAAGGATGAAGACAACCCTCACTTTAATGCGCAGAATTATATCATCAGCGGCCAGAGGTCACATCCTGCTGTCTTTATAAAGATAACTCCAGCCCCCTCTTTTTCCCCACTCTTTTATAAACCTGGCTCAACCCATACCCCATAGCAGCAGGACGACACAGAGCAACATCTTGGATTAGTTACGAGCTTTTCAGATGCGCTCCAACTCATATTTCATACCACTCCCCCCCCCCAGCCATAAGATCTGAGTTTGTCACATTTACTGGAGACTGAAGTACAAACATGTTTTATTCATTATCTGTCCTCTTCTTCGCAACAAGCACCTGCAAAACATTTCAGCTCTAGGCCGGATCAACAAGGCTTCATTAGGCATGACACTTTCTCCCTGGCTTGGATGATGAAGATACACTTTATCCCTGCACTTCTAGTCTGTAAAACTGCCCAGAGATCATCACCTTAGAAGAAGGCAGACTCCCAAGACCTCATGACTGAGGTGGAGAAAAAGGGATTGAGGTAATTACACAGCCCTGATTGCTGTGAGCTGGGGGACACGGAGTTATTTCAGCCTTGTTGCATCACAGCTCTGCTTTAGCAGCAGCAGAATGGAGGAGCACAGCTTTTGCAGAGTCTCAGACAGGGAGTTTGCAAGCTATTGGGAGCACCCTCTATTGTTATCTTTATTTTAATCAGTGGTCAATATTAGAGAAGTGATTCAACTCTCTTTGCCCACTGCAGCCCCATCCTTTCCTTTTTGCCAGCTCTTCCCTCTTGGTTGATGAATATTTATTAGATGCAAAACAGAAAAGCTTCACCAAGAGAGGCAAAAAAGCTCTTTTCCCTTCAAAATCCAGCAGCTTGGGGTGAGCCTTGGAAATATGGGAGGAATAAGTCCCTCCTCTAAATTAGGCACAGATGAGGTTTACTTGCTGCTTGTCAAGCTTAAATAATTAAGAAAAGCATTTGTGAATGAACTCCAGTTCCACAGTATCTTGGGTAGAGCAAGCTCCTTGGACCACAAGCATCACACCTCTGCCTTTCAGCTAGGGGTGCCTATTGCTGTGCAATTAAAAGATACTGCCAATAAAGCAATATATTCTGATGAGCTAATGGCCTACTGCTGTTTGAGAGGGGCCAGGGAGATGCTAAATCTGGTTTCCAAAGCTCTTTGTATTTAACGTTACGACAGTTACTGGTTAAAGCGATCAAACAGAACAGCAGGTAAAGACATCTCTGTCCCATGTTGGTTAGTGACAAAGCAATGGCATGTATTTATTCAGTGCTAAATACAGAAGTGAGCTCTGAGATATCAGAATTTCACATTCTAGAGAGGGTAAAAGCATTCAGTAGTCCCCAAATCTGCTATATTTCAGACCCAAAGGCCTTTAGCTAGGTAATGGGGCATAGCTGGGATGCAAGGGCCAGGCTGTAGCCTCCCCATCTCAAGGGTTACCATTATTCTTTTTTTTTTTTTTGAAGGATCATTTCTTCCTTCATTTTCAAGGTATGGATTAAAAGGGAGGGAACTGTTGAATAATCTCTTTGAAAAATGCTGCAGTATTTGTGACATCAATTATACAGCATCAGGGTGCAACCAGCTCTGGATAGAAGATGCTGCTGATGTAAAACACCCTTTTCTGTGCAGTTTCGGAGCAGGAAAAGCTTGTTTCAGGGAAAAAAAACCTCACCAACCACCCAAACCCATCACTTTGACATTGTCAAAAGTGCATTAATGTTTTTTCTAACACTGCCAGGAAAAATCATTGGTGAGATCCTGGCTGAGGAAAGAGGGGCAGAGATTTATCCATGCTCTGGCACAGAGGGTAGCCAAAAGCCTCTCTGCTTTGGGCAACCATCATCCTGATTTCCAAATCCAATGGGCAGAGAAGGACCACAGAAAGAGCTGGACCATCCCCTTTTTGTGGCCCTTGAGCCAGCACAGCTGAAAATGGGCGAAATTTCAAGCCATTGAGGAGGGCAAACAGCCTTTCATCCTTTGCCTGCCTACCTCATCACGAGCCTGTCTGCACACAACTGGCTTTTTAATTGCACAGCTCCGAATGGTCTTTTGCCAGGTTAAATATCAGCCCAGCAGCCTAACCTCTGATTAGATGTGTCCCTGGGGGCACAGCTGAAGTTTGCTTTTAACCCCTCATTCCTCCCTGCCCTTCCCTCTGCATCCCTTGGCGAGGCCTCCCTACCCTTTCCTGTTATTGTCCTGCCTGCCTCTGATAAGATTAAATACGTGCCCTTCAAAAAAAGGCCTTTTTTTTCTTCCCTCCTCATACCTTATTGTTCTTCAAAGGGATGGGGAAGACAAAATCCTGCTCCTAACTCCTGCTAAGAAAAGCCCGTGATCTATGAGGCTGAATAAATAACCCCGAGTCCCTGCAGTGCGTGAGAGCAGCGTTCACCTCCCTAATTGAAACGTGGTGACAGAGACACTCTGGGGTTTGCTTTTTTATTTTAGTGCCAGGATTTTGAGGGACCTTTTCTTTATTATTTTGATTTTTTTATTTCTTTTTTTAATATTTTTCTTCTTACTTTTTCCTATTTTTCTATTATTTCTTATTTTTCTTTCTATTCTTTCTATTGTCTTTCTCTTCCTGTTTTTTCTTGTTATTCATTTTCTTTTTTTTCTTCCTTTTTAATTTTTTATATTTCTGCTTTTTCTTTCCATTTTTTATTTCTACTTTTTTCTTTCCATTTTTTCCCTTCCATTTTTTCCCCTTCTATTTTTCCCCCTTCTCTATGAAAGGTGAACCAACGCTCCACAGGCTGCCTGCCAACTATTTGCCCTATGAGGCCCTTTGATTCTGACAACGCCAAAGGTTTATGACAGCTTGAGGAGGGGGGTGTGATTATAGATGCATTATGCTTTTTGCTCAAAGCTGTATCTGGAAAACACAAACCTACAGCAAAAATATGGAGATGCTTTGCATTTTCAATAAAACATCCTTGACAGGGATTCAGATGAGTCCCAGGTGACCCAAAGGGATGAGAACTCACTTTGGTTTAATATAAGGTTAATGGTGAAGCACAGTTTTGTTTGCCAAGGCTTTGAGACCACTGTACAGGAAGGGACTGCTTGGGTGGAGGAATGAGTTTATTCATGGGGCTGTCTCCCACTGGCTTTGGTTAAGATGATGGCATGTTTTACTTGGCTGTACCAATTAAAGTAAGTGCATTTACATTAATATATATATATTGAAGAAAATAGGGTTTTCACAGTAAAAAGAGGAGGCAGGTGCAGGCTGGGGTCTGGCAGATGTTATATTCCCCATTCTGCAGTTGGAAAGCCCAGAGCACTTTGTGCTGGTGCTGGATCTCCTGTGTCCTGCTGCAGTGCTGGGAGAAAATCTAACACTGACCCATGACAGGAGCCCCCAGGTCTGTCTAATGAGTGTTTCTTCTCTTTGTGATACCCTCTATGCAGGCAGGGAGTGGCCCTGGAAACTTTTTGTTCCCAAAGCCTGGAGTCGAGGTGTGGGAGCGGAAATATGTTCTGATGCCAAGGGTATGGTGTGCCAAGGGACAGATCTGCCCATGCTGTCAATTGGTACTGCCACCGTCAGAAGGTCCGAGCATCCTCAGGTGGCCTCGAGGAAAGGGGTCAGGGCCCAGCCATGCCATTTCCCCCAAACTGTTACCCCAGAATGTCTGGTCTCCCCATGGATGACAATGGGAGCAGGGTGGGAAAATAATCCTCTGTTATGTTATCATTGAGCTGATGAGCTAAAAACCTCCTTTTCATTCCTAGTTTTGGCGTTGGCATTGACTCCAGCAGTTCAAGGGGCAGAGATGCCAGTTTGGCCTCATCCTGCCTCTCTGTTTGGGCAGCATCTCAAATCTCAGTGGAGGCTTGACCACTGTTGCAGTCCTTCGTGGGTCCTGCTGGTTTCTGCAGGGGAGTTGGAGCATTCCCACCTTTTTCACCCTCGGATGGCAGGTAATAATTTATCCCTAAATAATGGCTTGCAGAATAAACCTTAAGGCATCCCCAGCAATTCCTGCTATAAACCCATTGGAAATGACAATTACTGCCCCATAGCATTTATTGCAGCCCTGCATTAGGGAAAGGGACGAAGATCCAAACCAACAAAGCTGTGTTTTATGAAGCAAAATGATATTTTTTTCTCTTTAAAATCACCAAACAGTTTCAAATCATGATGATATTTATGGCTGCTCATGCTGTGTCCAGTCTGCTATAAGGAGAAGTGCGTATGAAAGCATCTCCTGAGGGAAATCACATCCTCTACCCTCTAAATCTTCCTTTCCTGAGACTGGAAAACTTCTGCCTTCTCCAATACCTGCCCAAATCACCGTGAACTTTACAACAAGGGAAATTTCCTTTCTCACAAGACAAAGGGTACAACCTCCTCCTCTTGCTGCTGCATTAAAATACCCCTGCTCCCCAATTAACCCATCTCTCCCCCAGCCCCTAGGTAAAAACCCAACATCTAATACTCCCCAGAGCATGTCCGTGGCTTGACAGCCTTCAATAGGTTAATTTTTCAAAGCAGTAAGCTGATATTTCTGCATAAAATGCACATCTGCAGGGTAAATGCTATTAAGTGTCGGTGAATTATGGTCCCAGAGTACAGATCACTTGAGCCTTAATGCTACAAGCACCTTAATGTTTTTTTGAATGAAGTTGCTGCTAATTGCTTCCATATGATGTCTTTCCCCTTTCTTTTTGTCTTATATCCCTCAGGTTTTTGTTCTACCATGTACAATGCTACAAATAACAAGCATGCATGGAAATTACACTTTATTTAAGATGGATTCATGCCTGTTTGTGGATCTTTAGGCTTTTTTGGTGCCTTCTGGTGCAGTTCTACTCAGTGCAGTACTCCAAGATGGGGTTTTCGCCCTCAAGTTAATGCCACGCTCTCCATCTGCATCTGCAGATCTTGGTTTGATGATCTTTGTATCTCCATCTGCATCTGCAACCTTATCTGCATTGTTTCTTCCTCCAAGCATATTGCATGTAGCTGAGGCTACTGGAAGCAAAACTTACCCTGTGAGCAAATGGGAGTAACAAAAAGGGCTTTTGGGGAGCAAAGCTCATAGATCTAAGGTAGGAAAGGAGGATGCAGATCCCTGGAGGATTTGCAGCAGTTTCTGGTCCACAGAGGTGTCTCCAAACCTGCAATGACGGCTGTATGGGTGACGGCAGGAGCAGGGTGCTGAGCACTGGTATTTCCTCTCCCAGCACCCAGATCTGACTGCTTGATGCATCTGATCTGAGTAAAACCCCTGGGAAATCATACCCAGCACTGCACCTTGGCAGCACTAAAACCACTTGTGCACCAAACCACGTCCCACCATAGATACTTTTACATCCAGGGTGTCATATGTCCAGCAAGGAGAACCTTGATTCCACCTTTCTGCCTTTTCAAACAGCAGGAAATGAATGAAACCTACCAAAAAACCCCTTTCTAAATGGCTTTTTCATTCCTGGGGGAGCAAGAGATAGGACTGGTGCTGGTCCTTACAGCTTTCCCCTGCAAAGGTGGAGAGAAGTGCTGCACTGGAGGTTGTTCTCAGGAAATCCATGCACTACACACTTAAAGCCAGTTGTAACATGGGGATATCAGCTTGCAAAAGAGAAGAAAGAAGGGCTTTTTAGGGAAAACATGGCTTGTTAAGGTCTGACTTCAAACGCCCCGCACAGCTCCGGTGGGAAGGCAGGAGGGCAACGGGATGCGAAGCAGAGCTTTGACATAAAGCAGAAGGTGCTGGGTGATGGGAGCTCTTGATTTACAGCCTGTATTTTTTACAGCCAGGTCTCAGGGGTTTACAGTAGAGCCCCAAAGCAGCCAAATTAATTAGTATAACGAAAAGCCCACAGCCTGCTGGAGGCTGTTGCTATACATCAGCCCTTTAATT